TAAAACGAGACTCGATGCAGCTAGATTTGGCTGACTGTTCATTGCTCTACCGTTCTTCCAAATCTATATTATATATTTTATAGTCAGCATTTATTTCGGACTGAGAGTGAGCCAAAAGTTTATTGCAATATTAAATGTAGAGTATTCTATTTCGGTTATTCTGCAGGGCATTCAAGAGTTCCTTAATCCCATGCCGAACTGCTCATTTCTTTGTTGATGCCACCTTCGGCTGCACTTTGTTGCTGCTTTGTTGTCTCAGTTGCTCAGTTGCTTTGGCTGCTGCCTGCCACTTGCAATGGGCATTGTTTGCTTATTTCACTGACAAAATGAAACTCAAATCAACTCGTGCATTTCTAATGCGAGTTTATATGCTTTATCCCTTGAAATTCGTATCAACGTAAAACAACTATCATTTGCCACGCCCCCACATGCCTCCTTCAGCCACTGCCACCGACATGTTCTGACTTTTATGGCTAGTAAATTTTTTCCTCGCCTTGCGAATTTCTTATTGAAATGAGCCAAAATGTGCACAATGTTTGCAGCCCAAACTCTTGAGCAATATTATCTCTGTTAGCTCTGGTCTCCCCAGCTTCAGCCCCCAGCTTCGTCTTCAAGTCACAATCGCAATCGCAGTCCCAGAAACCCAATTGCTGCTCGGCACTTTGCCAGACGGAGTCAGAGTCGAGCCAGTTTGTCAGCTTGTCAGCAAGTTGAGTGTGGAGCTAAGCATTAGGATGCCATGAGGTAGAACAGGGCGGGCCAGTGGCAGGGCGCGCATCTGCTCACTCAGTTCAGTCCGACTTGCTTGCCGTTGCTTTTGTTACTCATTTATTTTGATTTGTTTACCATTGCGATTTATATTTGTTCGTTTTCGTTTTTCGTTTTCCGCTCTGGAAACTAGTGAAAAGAGCGCGCATAGCAATAAAATTAAGCTCGGATTTATTGACCCATTTCAGTTTGACTCGCTATAGCCCCTCAATCATTCCCCTCTCCCTCTTGCGCTCGCTCTTTACCCTCTCTTGGCTGGCTGGCTGGCTGGCTGGCTGTCCGTTTTGCTTTTGTGCAACAACTAAATTAAAATGTTTTACTAATCCCGACAAGTAACGCTTTTAATTACTTTTTCTTCTCAAATGCACACAGACACATTTGTAATGGACCAGCGCCCATGTACACGCCCCCAGCCCATTGCTCACAGCCCACGGCCATGCCTATTCAATACGCTGCTTATCCTTACATACACACTGACATACATATTATATGATAACAATAATGATAGACTGAACAACAATATTTATACATCAGATAACGAGCGACAACTAGAAAGAGATAGATAGAGATATAGAGAGAGAGAGAGAGAGAGAGAGAGATTGATTTTTGGCATTGGCAAAATTGCTGTAAAATTGTATAAAACCTTTATTTCTGGCATTTAATTTAATTAAAATGAAAAACAAACTGAAAGTTATTTTACGCATAAATCGCATCAACTGAAGAGAGCTGGCAACAATGTTTCCATTTCCATTTGATTTCAGCAACATTTTGCGTGTCATACTCGTGCAATTTCCATTGCATCCTCTTTGGCTCAGTGGCAAATAAGCTTGTTATCAGGGAGCTTTTCATTTCATTGACAAATCTATGTTCTTTACAAAAATATTTTAGTTAGCCAATCAATCGGGTCAACAAAGCTAACTATGCTTATACATGTGTGTGTGTGGTGCGTATGTGAATGCGTGTGTGTGTGTGTATACATTTTGCTTGCAGACATTTGATAAATTTTTATAATTGGCCATAGAATTTGTATAGCCAGAGAGCTAGACTCTAGTATCTCAGAGATGATTAGAAAAAAATTCAAGCTAGATTTTGGCTAAAAAGAAGATTCAGAGAACTGAAAAGATAAATTGACCCAGTTGTTCACATGAATCTGGAATTTCGATAGAGGTATTGTCTTTGCTTTCCTCTGCTTTGTTTCATATTAATCTACATTTAGTTTCATGCATTTTCATTCTTGTCAAACTTTTCTCTCTGTTCACCTCCAATTACCAGAAACAATTTTAATTTGTAGTCAACTTTTCGCTGGTATTTGTCAACTCATCAAATATCACGTATACGCCGCACTCATTTACGTCGCATTCATTTTATTAGCTAACACGAATGCTTTACAATTGAGCTCTGCTTATACATTCAGCTGCTTACAGCACAGAAGGTGTTAATTAAATATTTTAACTCAAAGACAAGCGATTACAACAACAACAACAACAACAACAGTAACAAACAGCAACAACAACAAGATAAGCAAACGTAATTTTCAACAAAATCTCATTAAGTGGCTCGTACTCGACAACGAGCTGCCGAGCTGCCAAGCAGGTGGCATTTAGTGTACTCTTAAAAAAAAAATAAAATAAAAAAAAAAAAAACAAAACAAAACAAAACACAAAGTGAAGAAGAAATAAATGAAAGCCAACAAAACGAAAGGAAAAGCATGGCAAATGGAGAACGAGTTGATTTCATCTCATTCGTGCATTGTCTGCATTGTTTTCTCCAGCCCGCTCTCTCCTCTTCTTTCTATCTGTCACTTATATCCTTGTTGTTGTTGTAATTTGTCGCTATTTTGCATAGAAAACTAACTTTGGAAATGCGATTAGCACACAAAGGTTCGATTGAAATTCAAGTGCTTGCCACAAATAATTAATTCGATTCAAGTCAAAGCCGACGTCGACGCCAACGCCATAGGCAAAAGCCACTCAGAGTGCTAGAGTGGCCGAGAGCAGGCAGCATATCTGACAGATGTACATCATTAATGCTGAAATCTCTACGCTGATGATACTCATTAACATAAAATGTCCACCTTTGGACATGGCCAAAGCTCAAGCACCTCACCGCACCGCACCGCAGCGCACGGCCATAAAACCAGCTCACTTTTCACACTCATTAAAATGGACGAGAGCGAGCATGATAAGGACAACGTTAGCTACTGCTGCTGCTGCTCAAGGACATCAGCAAGCGTGTCGCTGTCTGTGTGTGTGTGTGTGTGTGTGTGTGGGTGTAAATGGCTGATGGCATGTCTTGCAAGTGCCTGCTTATCGTCGCACAGACTTGACGTCTATCTGACGTCAGCTGCGTCGTTCAAATTTCAAAGATACGCGCTTACGAGAACCCTTTTCGCAGCCGCATTTCAGTTAAGACTCGGAGAAAGCCAACAAATAAAAATACCAAAATAAAGCGAGCAAAACACATTTAAATGTAATCTATTATCTTAATTCCGACACAAATTGTTTGCCACGTCTCGCGCTCTGCCCTTCGGGCCGCTGCCTGCGGTGACAGCCGCGTTCTTTCATCCAATTTCGCCCCGCAGCTCGCGCTCTCTTAACCCGACCGAACCGACCGAAGCACAGCCTCAGCCTCAGACCCCCTCTCTAAATAATGCCAAAACGCCATTTAGCAGCGTTGACTTGTGCACCCAGACTCAAGGACTGGCAATTCAAATGCCAGCGTAGGACAGCCAGAGCATGCCGGCTACAAAGAGCGAACGGCGAACGGCGAACGGCAGCCGCTGAAAAGCAAACGCTTATCGGCCGCAACGTAAATCACCCAATTTACCATAAATAAAGATATGTACATATTGTCAGCGAGCGTGGGGAATAGCTAACCCACTGGGTGGCCAGTGGGGCAGTGGGGCCACTGGGGCAGCAGCAAAGCCGCAGTAGAAGCCGCCGCCAAACCAAAACCAAAACAAAACACCTTATCGCTGGCAAGCACATCTTTAAGTGGCTGTCAACGTGGCACACAAGGATGTAGGTTGGGTCGGTGGTTGGGGCGTTGGTTGGGCTGGTGGTTGGGCGATTGGCTGCGTAGTTGGCTTGGTGGGCTTTACCCGTGGGCGTGGGGCTGGCCGCCCCAAAGACATATAAATCTGCATGCATAAAGTGCAGCCAAGTGGTCAATGTGCTTAGCCGAAAAAGAGCTAGGACTACACTGTGAGAAAATGGCTTTCATAAGTTGAAAACACGCTAAACTTTGGTAAGATGTGCAAGTATTTCATCAAAATCTCAGGTTAAATTATAGGATTAAGATTCAAACTGTAATACCAAGCTTAGAAAGATATGTATTTGATGATAGAATTTGGTTTTTAATTAGCCCTGTGCTAAACGCTGATCAAAATTAGTAAAAATAATAATAAATTTCTCAAATTTCTGTCTTCGTTCTCCTCTAATTTTTATGAAAAACAGAGAAAAGAGCGTAACTTAATTTTAATTAGGGTAATCAACATTTTCGATATCCTTCCATTCTCTGGCACCACGTACACAAATCTGTTGGCCGGGTCCCTTCATTCCCTTTAGCCGTTCATCAAGCTATGAAAAAAGCGTTTGCGTTTGCCTTTGCATTTGCCTCTGCTGTCTGCGGTTTATTTTGCAAAAGGCAACATTTTGCTAGCTGCGACACGCGATTCACCACTTGCCACTCACCACTAACCAGCTTTTCTCTACTCTTTTCTTTAGCAGGCAACGGCACAACAACAGCAACAGCAACAGCAACGACAAGGACTACGACAACGGCAACGACAGCCCAAAAGACGACAGCAGCAAATCGCGATTATGACGATGATGACGAGCACAACGACAGCCACAATAGCAACGACAAGGACCAAGACGAGGACCACGACCAGCAGGCTAAGGCTGAGGTTGAGCCTGCCACTGAGTCGAAGCAGGGTAAGCTGCAACAGCATCAGCAGCAGGAGAGCAAGGACGAGGCCAACAGCAGCAGCAGCGGCAGCGGCAGCAGCAGCAGGCCGCGGGCAAGTCAAAAGCGTGCAGCACAAACGACACAATCGCGAAATCCCATCAGACGCGCTCACAGCGAAAGGCATTTGTCTGCCCCGCCCAGCTCGAAGTCGAGGCCACAGCCTGGCCAGGACAAGCACGACCAGCAGCAGCAGCAGCAGGAGCAGCAGGAGCAGGAGCTGGAGCAGGCAGAGCACTCAGCATCAAACCCCTCGCAGTCTGGTGTCATTTTAAATTTTAAGGACACAATGGCGCTGCGCATAAAAAGCAACCGCAACGACTCGAGAGATTTATTTCAAAGGCGACCAACGGAGCCGCCGCCGCCGCCGCCTTTGCCCAAGACGCCGACCACAAACGGATTAGAGAAGCAGCCGCAGCCGCAGCCGCAGCAAATCAATAAGTCAACTGCTCCTGCTTCCGGTCCATCGCAGTCGCCATCACCGTCGCCGTCGCCATCTCGGCAGCAACAGCCAAAGCCACAGCCACAGACACAGCAGAGAACTGTGGTCCGGGTGGCGCCCTTTAACAAGAGCAGCGAGGTGCATCGCCTGAAAATCTCGCACAGCGAACAGGATGCCCACCCTCTGCAGCTGGAGCACAATGTCACGATGCGCTGCCACTCCCCGCATGCGGAGTCGGACGTGGCGCCCAAGAAGACATCGATACTGATTAACGGCGACGATTGCTACTCTACCATGAATCTCAGCGCCGATGCCGCCCAGCCGCTCTACCAGTCCTCCGTGGTGGTCAACAGCCAGACGGCGAACAGCGTCTGCATCAGCGTGAGCAGCGCCGAGGAGCAGCTCATCCAGCAGCACAATCTGCTCAACACGCTACGCAGCCAGCATGCCAATCTGGCTGCCATTATACCGATCAGGAGCAGCAATACCAGCGAAGTGAATCTGCAGCGTTCCGCTTCATGCATCTCATCCACGTCGAGCAGCTCGACGTCGAGCAGCAGCAGCTCGAGTGGACGCGGTCGCACCTTGATTAGGCTGGACTATGACAAGGAGCTGGCCACAGCCGGCAGCAGGCATTCAGCTACCACGACCACGCCCATCAATACGCCTTCGCCGCCAGCTATTTGCTCAACGCCGGCCACTCCACCGCCGCCGTCTCCTTCAGCGAGCGCTGCTCTGGTGCCGCACGAGACGGAGCTGCTTAAGATTCTACGAAATCCCGTGGAGGCTGTCAAACGGAATCTCGTGCCGCATGTCTGCGGCCTGCGGCTGCCCGCAACGGATGCCCTGCGCAGCAAGAAAATGCAGGAGACGCCAACAGCTGCCACGTCCACCAAGGAGGCAGCGCCGAGCAGTGGCTTCATAGCCAAGCTCTTGCAGGATCCGATGCTGAGCCAGGTGGCCGATGGCCTGGAGACGGACACTGTGGCAGAGCTGATCGAAAACTCGCTGGAGCGACTGCAGCGAACGCGCGAAGGCATCGACATGAGCGGCACCAAAGATCACGAGGACATGAACCGGCTGATCAACGTCTCGTTGCAGCGCGTGCGCCAGGAGCGACAGCCGGCAGCGGCCTCGACGACGGCGACACCAACGACGACTCAGACGACGACGGCGACGACAACGACCGCGACGACCAAAGAGGAGGATCGTCTGTCCAATCGGGGCAGCATCAGTTCCGCCAACAGCTTCGCCTCCGCCCACAACTACGAGCTGTTCGACTTTGAGGCGGCGGCCAATGAGTCCGATTGCTATCAGAGCTGCTCGAGCGAGATGACAGCCTCAGGCGTGTTGGAGGAGGTGGCGGCCGAGGCAGAGCCGGCAACAGACTCCGATGTGGATGCCTCGACACGCGCCAAGTTCTATCAACTTCTGGTGGACGCGACTCTCGCGGAGATCGAGCACAGCACGCACACAGAGGCCGAGCATCACTATGAATCCATCAGGCATCATGGCGATCCCATTTATGAGGAGATCAACGAAGTGCCACCGCCTTTGCCCCTCACCGCACCCCCTCTGAACGATGCCGAGCTGGATAAGAAGGCGGCGCGCTCCATCTTTGAGGGCGCCTCCAAATACGACATACTCTCCTACCTGGTCGACGCCAAGGAGCGCGGGCTGGTGCGCGAGGAGAGCTTCGACTACAGCAACAATCCGAAGATCATCGAAGAGGAGGCAAGCGACACGCTCAGCGAGCTGGAGAAGCGCGTCAGCTGCGACGATAGCCACAGCAACATGAGCTCCTTGTCACCGCCGCCGCACAACTTCATCTGCGGCAAGAGCGGCAGCGATGTGGAGCGCCAGGACTCGGGCGTTGGCTCCGAGACAAGCAAGTCCTCGCGCAGCAAATACCAGCCGGCTGTGAGTCCCTTGCACCTATGCGAGGACTGCGACGGACCTGTGGAGACGCAGCTGAGCGAGGCGGGCGTCCTCTACGCACCGCTCGTGTGCCGCAAGTGCGGCAAGAAGCGGGTGGAGCGCAAGGAGATTATCACCGAGATTGTGGAGACGGAGGAGAAATATGGCCGCGACTTGCAAATCATACTGGAGGAGTTCTGCCAGCCAATGCTGGTGGCCGGTCTGCTCACCCAGGAGCAGCTCTCTGCAATCTTCCTCAATACGGAAGACTTGCTCGAGAACAATCAGACGCTGGCCGAGCGTATGCGAGACGCCCTGGACATTGCTCTGGAGCAGGGCGACGATGATCTCCTGACGGTCAACATTGGGCGCATCTTTCTGGACTTTACCCAAATGCTGCACGCCTTCGAGAGCTATTGCGTGCGACAGGCGGGCGCCAGCCTGCTGCTGGCCAATCTCGAGAAGGAGAAGGAGCTGCTGCGCATCTTCCTGAAGGTCTCTCAAATGGAGAACGCCGTGCTGCGTCGCATGAATCTCAACTCGTTTCTGATGGTAAGCGATTGGCCGATGCTCGATTGTGTTTTATATGCATGGCTGGCCTCTAAACGTCTGTTTCTCAGTCGTCTAACCCCTTGTGCTGATTCCCTTTCCCTCTCTCTCTCTCTCTCTCTGTCTCTTTCCCTCTCTTTAGGTGCCCGTACAGCGTGTCACCAAGTATCCATTGCTGCTGGCGCGTTTGTACAAGGTGACGCCCGCACACCTGGATGGACGTGAGCTGTTGAAACAGGCGCAGGAGAAAATTGAATTGCATTTGAATCACATCAACCAGGAGGCCAAGGATGTGCCCACCAAGCTCTGGCGCCGCATCAGCTCCTCGAGCCCCAATCGGCGTGCCTCCTGCGAAATTGATATGATAAACATCAAGCTGCGCAAAATGGCCATCGACATACTCGAGTGGAATCACGATGAGGTCCGCTTCGCCATGGAGGGCAAGCTCCTCTACACGCAGCCCACCGACAGCAACTGGAAGAAGGCGCGCACCATCAAACTGACCCCAGTGAATGCGCTGCTCGTGACCAATGGCAAGGTAAGCTATGGATGGAGGGCAAAGCTACAGCTAAAGCTAAAGGGAGCAGTTAGTAGTAGAAGCTGTCCCCAACAGAACCTGTTACTTCAGTTCCCGGTCACGTTTGACAAGCGACAAACGATGCTCGGGCGTTTGACATGAGGTGTGGGCAATTAGCGAGCGCCGCTTGCACCTAATAGCCCTCACTTCATCTCTCTCATCTGCCCTTCCCTGCTCAACCTCTCGCTTTGCCTTTGTGCCTCTGCACAGGATCACGCCTTCCAAACTGGGTTTCAAGTGGACTGCAGGCCGGAAGACAGAGCCCGGGAGCATATGCGAGCCAACTGATGTCATGGCAACAGTTTTTGCCGTACGATAAAAGATTTCAACAAATCAGAGCACAGCCGACAAGGGCTACCGTGTGGAGTGGCGAGCGAGGAGCAGCCGGGCGAATGCCCGTTGACGCATCGAGTGGAACGGAAGCGCATCCGGCCTGTCCTAATGAAAAGTGCTTATCCAAGCAACTATCTGCTTTTGATGCCTAAAAACAAAACGAGTTTCCACATTCGTAGGCGAGCCATAAAAAAATAGCAAAGTCTGCTCTACTTACGAAAGTGCCCGCCCAGCCGATACCCTGTAATCCAGTTCTACAAAAACCCTAGAAAATCCATATATGCACCGCATCTAGAGCATATCCTCATCAATGCTCCACAGCGTTTGCTGGGTAGAAAAAACCAACGGCGTCAAGTGGGCCACAAGCCGAGTATCCCAAAAGGCCAGCAGGGCGCGCTCTATGCAGGGAGATGGGATTGTGGCACATCGATGGCGACGCAGTGCGTATGTCACTTGTTTGGTTTTTGTGCCCTGCTCTAAATTTTTGCAAAAGCCTTACCCGACAATTGCTCAATTCAAGGCAATTTCTTTTTTCTCCCCCATTTTTTTGTTTTTGCCGCTTGTTTCTGGGCTGTTGTTTTGGGTGCTGATGTTAGTTCGAGTCCTGCTGCTTGTCTTGCTGCTTCCTGCGGCAGTTGTTGCTCTGCCTGCCTGACAAGCTTTGTGTGCTCGCGTTATCTGTAGGCAGCACGACGCTCCTTGTTCCTCGCTCCTCGGTCCTTAGTCGTCGGTCCACGCTCCAAGCTTCAAGCTACGCTTTTTCTAGTTGTAATTTTGTTTAGTTTCGCTTTACACAATTTTCTATTTCCACTTCCATTTTTCCCTTTTTTTCTGGCAGCCAAGTACCAATTATAGGGCAGAGAAGGCCATGTCGGATAAACTGAATTTCCCGAAGCACAATGGCATTCGGGAGGCCTCGCTGCTGATGGTGAAGGAGAAGTGCGGACGGTACACGCTGACACGGGAGCCGTTGTATCTGGACAGATGTGTTGTGTGCAGCGAAGCGGATTGGGATGATTATTTCGAAGTGCAGGAAATTTCATCGAAGGACACATTCATATTCAAAGTGAGTAGACGCCAGCTGCACCCACCCTTACCCCTGCACCTACACCTACACCACCTAAGCCTAGCTACGATACCTCCTGTGCATTGTTTTGGCCCCCACGTCCCTTCCTCGCATTCGCTCGGATTTGGCTTTGCCTGTTGTCAGTTGACTTGGCATTTAAATGGAACCGTTTGCCTTTTGACTGCACACCAGCAAATGTTTGGGCTTCGTTAGTTTTGCCCCAGCCGTTTGGCGGGATTCCCTCGTCCCTTCCTATGCGGGGCTACAAGTTTCAGTTCAGCTTTCGCTACAACGGCTGGCGATGGCGGTGGATGTACCCAGCCAGACGATCTTACCAAGTTAATAGAGCAGCAACAACACAATTAACACAGTTAAAAGAGCAGGCAACAGCTGGTTAACGAAGACAGCGGAATAAAGCTAACTAACTAGCGGAAAAAAAGCTGAAGGCACAAAATAGAGACTAGTTTAGTAGGAGAGTAGAAGAGGACAGTAGGAGAGTAGAAGAAAAGGAGGGTAAAAGAGAAGGATAGTAGATGAATGGAAGAGTAGGAGAGTAGTAGAGTAGAAGAATAGAAGAAAAGGAGAGTGGGAGAGAAGCAGAAAGTGAGAGAAGGAGAGTAAGTGTAGGCGGAATAAAGCTCCAAGCAGAAATCAGAGAGTAGTTTAGCAAAAGAGAAGGACAATAGAAAAGTAGGAAGGTAGAAGAGTAGGAGAGTACAAGAGAAGGATAGTAGATGAGTGAAAAAGTAGCAGAGTAGGAGAGTAGCAGAGTAGAAGAGTAAGAAAGTAGGAGATCAAAAGAACCGAAGAGTAGGGGAGTAGGAAAGTAATGACTATCCATTACAAATGCCAGCTGACATGGCTGCCGCTGCCAAAAAGAAACCTCGCGTGCAACAGAAGAGTTTTGATGGTCTTTGAAAATTCATATAGCGTACCTATGGGAGCTGCACAATGCCAGTTTCATACAGTACAGTTTACGTATTTAATAACAGACAGGCCACATACACACACACACACACACACACTCGCCTACGCACTCATAATACACACACACATACATACTGCACATACATACAGAGTGGAGCGCATATAGAAATCCATTTGAAATCCTGTCTAATGTAAAGCGAGACGCAGCTTCACTCATGCGAATTTTTTTGTTGCCCCGAGGCACCGAGTTAAGCCATCGGGTAGATGATTGCGGTGGCTGCCTGCCACGAGACCCCTAACCGCCCTGACCTCCGGCCGCTCTGCCTCTACTGCTCCGCAGTCTTTTGAAGTGCGTTGAGGCAGCGCACGTAAAGTGCCTGCCAAAATGAATGACATTTATTGAAATTTAACAAGAGAATGAAAAAAGAAAAGAAAAACGTACGTGGAATAAAGAGAAATTGTCGCTGCGTGAAAGGACGAGTCAGGCTTAGCATAAATTGTGGCGTTTAGTTACGGCCAACTGGACACACAGACAGAGGCACACGCACACATATGACACCTGTCCAACTGACGTTTCAATCAAATATGTCTAACACTTTGACAACATATGCTTAACTCTCTCTCTCACACTCACTCTCTCTTTCTCTCTCTTGCTTTCTTTCCACAGGCTGAGGATGGCCTACGCACTAAGCAGTGGTACACACAGCTGCAATATCACGCCCAAGGCATGGGGGCGTGGCGCAAGCGGCGCAACGCTTTGGCCAACATAATGATCAACGGAATGCTCACGCGCACTTAGCCAACAACAACAGCAACAACAACAATTTGGAAATTGGCATTTAATGTGTATTCGATGCATTACTATTAACCAGCAATTGAATAATTATAGTTTAAGTGATATATATATATACATATACAAATTTATATACAATTTAACCATAGTGTTTACAACAAATACACCTACACAGAGCGAAAAAAAAGAAAGAAGAAAAGTAAATAGAATACCTATATACATTATACATAACACTCTATAACGACACAATAAAGAAATATATACATATATATAAATTAGTTAATGATCTGTTTAATTGCGTTTTAATTGAGTTATTCAATCAAAGTTCAACACCTTCTTAGTGGGCGAGAATAACTGTTACGATTATGATTGGCATTCGGGTGGAAAAATGTTGATTACATTTTCACAGAATTGCCGCAAAATTGCGCAAAGTTTTGCCAACTTCTAGCCGCAAGCCCAGCTACAAAAACACTTTGCACATCATTGCAAATATTTAAACAAACAGACATACGTATATGCACGTTATGTTTGTATATTCGCAGTTGATTAAAACATTTTAAATCTCATCCACAAATACGAGCGAACAACAACTATAACATTTAACAAAACAACAGGCGAACAAACAAACACAAGCAGAGAGAGACCCAAGTGGTTTCGACTTTGGGGTTTTATGGCTCTCTGGACTGGGCTTACGCTTTCCACAGACTTTCCACAGACGTTTCCACTGGGGGTTTATTGCTTGTTTAATTACACAAATAACTGAGCAGATTATTATGGTTAAACACGAAACAGTAACAGTCATGGCCAGTCACAGCAATTGCTTCGGCAATACTGAATGGAAATCAAAGCCAGCACACAAGTTGTTTAAGTTCTCGAATACCCTCCAGAATGGCTTGTGAATTGAAAAACTCAGATGGGTTCGGATTATGTGTGAATGAATGAAAATGTGAGGAATAGAGTCCTTAAGCTTAACCAGAAAATTGTTATATATTTAGGAGTTAAAGGATCAGGATAAAGGAAAGGCTAAAGGAATATTGTAAGTGAATGCATTCCAGTTTAGTCTGAGCATTTGTTATACATGTTGGCCTGAAGGTATTTCCTATATGTTATAATGATTAAAGTCTAGAATGAAGCCAACCACATGCTGCCTGCATTAAGAAAAAACTCCATTATGAGTCAAGTGAATAAATCAACTATCTGATCTGGAGTGGTGAGCACGAATATAATTATATAATCAATAGAAAATAGTTAAGTGCTTGAATGCCAGTTACACAATGTGCTGATAACATACTTAGTCTTCCTCCTAAATAAGTCAAACAGAATCAAGTAGGCTTCAACTCGAGAAATATGAAAACAAAACACTTGCAAATTTCATGCGAAACTAATCGGATTCATGGCTCAATCATTGTCCTGCAGCAGCCTCTTCACACAACTTTGTTACTTAGTGCAATTAATGAGTAATGAAGAGCTGAAATGTAAATTATTTGGTCATAGTTACGACATGTTAGGCTGGCACACACAGATAGAAAATTCATAATATACTTAGGTATCTATAAAATCTATATTTGATATAATGATTTTGTTATGATGCGGTTTACACACTTCACTGGGACAACAAATAATTTGTGGCTGTTTGTTAATTCATTAAGTTAGCTGGGCCGAAATGAAAATCATTTGCAATGGCGCCTGTGGCGCATCGAAGCCTTTGATGGCTTTCGTTATAAATGTTACTAATACGCCACGTAAACAAGTCCCAAATCCTTTAAAGCATCCCCAAAGAAAGCCGCATGCGGCAAAATTGAAAAGCAAAGCCAAACTCGGAAACGATAAAAGTGGCGAGGACATAGAGCAGCGGGCTGGCGGGGATGTCGGGAATGTTGGCCAAAGAGAAAACTGCATGCTGAGCGCAATTATGCTGGACAAACATTTGCCAGAACGGCCAAACGGGCAGAGAGAGAGAGATGGAGCAGATAGACAGAGAGCGACAGAGAGAGTGCGAGTGAGAGTTTCTTTCCTACCTCAACGTTTGGCACTCCACATTAGCCAAGGCGCCCATTGCCTGGATGTGGCACTTAGCATGCACCTTGGCACACGCATCAATACACACACACACACACACACACACAGTGAAGCTCTCTAGCTTTAGTGTACTCCAGTGCCTGGTTGGCCAAAGACAGACTTCAGTTCCAGTTGAGCAACAGAACAGACGCTGTCTCTCAGTCTCGTCCTCCATCTCTAACCCATTCCCAATCGCAGCCTCTCTCTGACTGGGGCCGTGGAACGTGTTATAACAATAGGGTGTCATGGTGGCAATATATTCCTTTTCCACTCCACGCACACACTCACACACAGACGAACGCTGGCTGCTGCTCGACTCGCTAGTCGGGCGACTAACACTAACGAGCAGTAAAACAAGTTTAAGATTTGCCGGCACACAAATAAAAACACAACCAGAGCCGAGCCCCTCATCTCGCATCTCCCTCTCCCTCTCACTCTCTCACTCTTTCTCTTTTCGTACGCTCTGTTGCTCCCTCTCTCGCCGCGAGGTCGCTGGCGGAAGCTGAGCGGAAGTTGGGCTTTAGCGTGCAATAACATAACCAAGGCACGTAGCACAAACACGGTACATTATATTGTATAAGCAGACTTCATTACGGTATTTAAACAGAATATCCACAAATTCTGACATGTCGAATGCGCCGCACTAAATCTGAACAATGGGCCGAAAACTGCCAGACAAAAATACCAATTCGAAAGGCATAAAATCAATCAATCATTGTTACATGCAATAAATATGAATACATATACTCCATATAAGAATGGGTATAGAATGCAAAACTTATTGCTTCTTAAGTTGATCCTTAGATCAACTCAATGTATATAGATAGGATAGAAACCAGACAGTTATCAATAACGAGGGGCAAAACCATAAAAGATTAAGTCGACGGGATAGTTACTAAGGCATTAATTCGAATTCCTAGTCTAAACTGATTAGATTATTTATTAAAAGTTATCTATCTCTAAATTTGTACCTGCCAATGCTAGTTTCCAGCTATATGAACAGCTCAAATAAAGTAGAGTTTATGAAGTATAAATTGTAACTCAAAATCATTGAACTCCTTTTTGCTTTATTAACTACGAAAGTAAAGGGTATCTATGTCAAAAATGTTGAACAAATTGGTTTCTAATTTCAAAGTATATTCAGCACTCTATAAAACTCTCTATCTCTCTCCCCTCTTTACCTCGCTTGCCATCGTTCTATGTATGCAGCTTAAAATCTTTTTTAAAAACAAAAACTTTCGCAGCAACCCATTGTGCCAGCGGGGCGTGCCAAGACACACACTAGGTTACACACTCACACACAGACTCACTCAATACACACACACACACATTCTCACGCTCGCACATACCCACATCAAAAGTCAAATTGTGAGCAGCGAGGCGATTCGAGCTACTCTTTGGAGTCAGAGCCCGTCTCGAGTCTCGACTGACTGGAGCATTCAGGTCTTGTAAAAATGCATCACGTAACCCGAGGGTTGGCCACGGCGCCTGGCAATATGATTAGACCCGCAGCCTGTGGACGGGCCAAAACTTTTGTCAGCAGGCCGATATAGAGCCTAGAGCAGAAGGCGGGGCAGTTGGTGAGAAGAAATCAGCGCCATATGCAGCCACAGACCAAAACTAAAACTGGGCAATAAAAATTTGTCGCCCAGCCAATAAATGTGCCCAAAAACCAAATAAAAAAGTAAAAATGCCAAGCGGCACAGAGACAAGGAGCATTCAGAGCTGAGCGAAGCGAAAAACATTTTCATTGCTGCCACAAAAAACAGTGAAAATAAAAACTAAAACTTGCCACAGCCCAAGGTGGCTCAGGTTGCCGTCCAAACAGATTCCAAGCAATAAAAAATTGAAATTAAAACTTCCACTTGTGCAGCTTCTGCTGCCGCTGCCGCTGCACGTTTCCTGCCTCCTGTCCACTGTCCAATGGCCACTGGGTCGACCAGTCGAGGCGAATGCGACACAGTTTTCACGCGAAATGGGTCGTTCAAATTATGAAAGCCACAAATGCGGCTTGCTCTAAATGGCCTCAACAATGGAGAATCTCATGCCCAGCTAGGTTAGCCAAAAGTCAAGAGCTGGGCTACGGATTCGATTAAACTAAGCGAGTGGATACATCTCAACGTGGATTGCGCATGATACATTTATATATGTATATGTGAATGACTTCGATACTGCAAGACTGATGATTCACTGATTGACTGATTGAGCTCTACATCAGTACAGCTAAAAAGAATTCCCGATGATAGAGTGGCAGATTTTTGATTGAACTACTGACCTCATATAATTCTCAGCAATAAGTATATATCCAATCAATCATGATTGAGTAATTGGCTAGTGGCTGACAGGCTGACTGATGGATAGATAGGCCAGCACCACTCAAAGCTGAAGCTAAGCACAGCTTCAATCACAAGAGAAATTGAAAGATGATTTAAAAACAAATTGAATGACTAACTGATCTAAACATATCCTAAGCAATACTCTAGACTCTGGCTATGCATAAAGTCAATCTGCTTTGGATTAACTCTTGGCTTCCACGTCAGCTCAATTTGAGCCGATAAAATTGCAACGATTGAAATATAGCATTTTGATTGAATGACTTACTTCATGATTTACCAATAAATGCAATCAGCTTCTACCCATTCAATCACAATTGACTCCAATACTTTTCACTGATGGAGCGGAAAATGCGTAAAAATAAAGTTGTAAACTTAATGAATACTTTCGTATTATTTCCAGTGAAAAGCCACCGCATCGAATGTCATTTCAATATAAAATCTGTCAGGCACTCAAAATTGTATAATAACAATAAAAAGACTTGACAAGTTCTATACGTATGTATACATAAATATATATTCCTTTTTATTGTTACTCTTAGCCCTGGCTGTTTTGTGTCCACTTTTTGCTCCCATTGCCGTCTGAGTGCCCAATAAGGTCAATGGGCAGACTTTACATTTTTTTCTTTTTCATTTTCATTTTCATTTTCATTTAGATTTCCATTTGCATTTTCATTTTCATTTTTATATTCATCATTTGCATTTTTTCATTTCGCTGTTGTGAAAAATCAAACAAATTGCAACCAAATTTTAATTGTTTTTCTGTCAACTGAGCCGCGCTAAGAG